ACTAAATTAGGGTCCTAACTTTCGGAAAAGCAAATTAAAAATTAATTAACATCTAAAAGGAAATCAATTTGTTTCCATTAACTTTAAATAAAGCTGCCGTCTATTTTAACTTCTTTGCAAAAAATCGCCTATTTCCAGCGTTCATCTTTAGTATAGAAACCTCATCGTGGCCTTTTCATTAAAAATCATTCAACCATATGATTCCAACTTACTCCAACTGGCTTCAAAGTTAGTGGCATAATTATAGCCACCCATATTCAAAATACTAATTAAAAATTCCTTAAATTCCGTATTCAGGTTTCGCCGACTGGGGTGGCAAAGAGGACATGAATCAGATCATCAGTAGGAAGCAAAAATATGGAGCGGTCATCCTAGCTAAGTGGTAGAGTTCCGCAAGTATCGTCAATAATTCTTGGGGTATATCTTAACTACCTCAAAGCTATTCAAATCACCTGATCAAAATAATTCATTCTTTCATCGTGTATCCCTCACGCATCGGTACAATATTTAATCAATTCATTGTACTCAAATAAGTGATCAGCTTATGCCAGTTCTGAATAAAAACTCTCAAAGCACATGACTACTGAAAATACCTAAGGGAGATGGATTTTAAAGTGACTACTCAAATTGGCTGTAGTTAATACCTCGCTCGCCCTCCTTTAAGGACGAATCTAGGATACTGCTATTGCACAAATACGACTCAACTATATATTCTGCATTTATGTTTACTCTGATTTCCATCACCTTTTCACTCTGTCTCAAGATTCGTAAATGCTAAACACCGCGCTATAATCCATGCTCAACTCCTGTTATTTTGACATTTATCATACACGAATAACAGGATCGAACCCACTAAAACAAATGAGCCTAATTCCCACACTCCTTCAAACAACTTGCTCGGAAGTCATAAATTTGGGTTAGTTAATATGAACCTGGCATGGATTCCATGATTGGCTTAGATGGCGGCATAATGTAAATGACTATTAATTTAACTGAAGCAATGGGTAAAAATTTAATGGTTATTAAAGGTTAGTACTACATGACCGCTGAAATTCATAAGAGGAAATGCCGAACCACATGATTCATTTTTGTAGCAAGAATTACAATTAAAGCTGCTTCTAAAAGCATTAAGGGCTATTATTAGTTGCCGTCTTTAAAAATTAACTTTTCCTTTTTAATGATAAAGACGCTGAATATGTGTAAACTGGAATATACGTGACTAAAATATTCTTCCAGAATTTTAGTACTATTGGTATTTCTGTAGGGTGTATGTATGTTGGGTTAGAGTTTAAGAAACCGGGGTAAATTTGCCTTTTGAAATCGGCTATCAACCTAGTTAATTCTGATTAATGAGGAAACGGATTGTTTTGGGGGGGGGGGGGAGTAGGGCTACCCAAAGGCGGAAGATTGAAAATCTTCCCTCAAATTATAGCAAGATGTAGTATGGGAGCAAAATGAGGAGCTGCTTGGTTTTGGATTCTCAAAAAATCAAATTAATTAGCTTTGTCATCACTTGGATGTGGACTCACTGCAACTGCACATATATTGAACACTATCATATGACGTACAGTGGGGTCATGGTAGTTTGAATTTAACTGCCAGTTTGAATATACGTTGCCCAGGGAGGTACGTCTATCGTACCCCAGAATAAAGAGAGGTGTGTAGAGAAGGCTGGAGTTATTTACTTCACTTCGATAAAATTTTGCAAATACAAGATGAATTAAATCCATTCATACAAGTAACGACTTAATTTAGACCTACTTCTGAACTCATGAAAGTATTTTGCATTTGTTTTTGCCTGGATTTTTATATTAGAACAAATATGACCACGATGCAGTACCATTCCTTGCACAATGTGTATGGGTTATCGCATCTGTCTTCATCTATCTAACACATAGGACACTATTAACTCACTGGAATTCTCAAATTGTTTAGAATACAACAAGTAACTTGGATATTCCTCATCGCTCTGAACCGCCATACGTTGACCCACCCACCTACTATTCATTTCTTTATGCGACAAATTATCTTTTAATTGAGGCAGTGAGTCTAGACGTGTTTACGATTAAAGCATAGCCTTGTCAATTTCAGTGACCTGAATTTTGTCCAGTGTGCATATTCAATCGTCTTTCTGTAACTAAATTAGCTCTTAACTAAACAGTATGTCATTAACATCACTCGGTTCCCCTTGCATTGCATTAATTCGTCGCCTTCCGTTTCTGGGCTTCTGATTGGTACACATTGAACATAAATTTGAACGTCAATATCAATACTTCATCATTGCTGATATGCTCATTGATCCCTTCTTCCGTAAGAATTGGCAAGAAAATAACAAACTTCATCCCCTTATACGAACATTTTGAATTGCAATACATTTACTTTAAACGATTTCCAAAATTACTCGAAGCTGAAAGCTTTTGACTGCTCCTATGAGTACTAATAAGTTGCTTGAGATTGATGATGATCTTGCTATTGAAGCAAGACCGGTGATGCTGCCACCTTCTAGGTTTCTACAATTTTTTTTCAGTGAGGTGAAATGGAGTAAAGGGCAGCGAAAATGGTAAGTTGGAAAGTGTTACCCTGGTAATAAACAAAGATCAGTGACTGTAGACAGGTATCGGGAATAAAAATATGACCAAATCGAGATTGTAATAAGCATTTCTAACTGAATAACTTGATATATAATGAGGACGTTGGTGTGCATGTTGCAAAATGCAATTATATTTCAGTTTGGGAAAAAGATTTATGAATTTACCCTTAAAGCGGGCATGCAGAATAATAGGTTTTGGAACTACTTTTAAAAGATTCTGTCTTTAAGAGCATTTAACACACCTGCACTAAAACGAATAATCACCATCAAATACTATTCAATTTAAGTATAATTTACTAAATTGAACTTTAAAAGGCAGCATTTAAACACCTAGCCCAAATCCAAACCAGACAAGAACAAATTCTTCGGAAAAAGTACTTCCATGTAAAATTAGCAAACTGCATGCAGAACTTAGGCAAGTTATTTGACGAGAAATCTCGTTTTCGGATCTTATAGATATGGCCAATAAATTCTGCACATGTTGCAATTAAGGTTTTCCTAAATATTTCCCAATAAGGCATCTAGCGCGTTCTAAATTTGCTCCATCGCTTTTATATGATAGCGGTAAAAAATTGGTTTCTTCTAAAAGGGAACATTATTTGAAAAGAAATAAGATTTATCAAGTTTTAGGATTCATAAGTTAAGCATAAGTCATTATTTATGCAAGTGCTCTTCGTGATTAATAAATTTTCTGATATTTTAAGGAATTTGCTTTTCTGGGTTTAACGGGACGTTAAATATCCTTATTTTACTCTTATTACTAGGAAAGAATATCACGAATTCGGTAGTTTTCACTAGCATTCATTCAGACTAAGCTTCCATCATGTAAAAAACAACCTTTTGTGAAGATATAGGGTAGAGGATTACACTCCACAATCTACCTATAATTATTCTCAAAAACTTGTCAATTCAAACCATTTTTAACGAAATTGCTTCTATATTTGACTAACGCGTGCAATTATTGCATTACATCTCTCTTGGACTAAAGTTAACTCAAGTCATATCGATTATCGATATTACACACCTTCTTCCCAGGGTGGCTCATGCAATAGGCCTGCGCTATATATAATCACCAGCTTAAATACCTATCAGTACAAATGCTTAATTCTCCTAGTTCCCTTCTCTAATGGCATTTTTTCTCTTCTCCTTCTACTACTTGGTGACCTTCTGCCGCAAAGATATGCTGAAGTTGGTCTACTGTCATTCTGTTTAATCCAAATTAAACTGAGACAATACGCTTCTTGTGTCCTCTGGCATCGTTATTTTATTTCTTAAAGTTGAGTTGTTCTCTTACTAATCAATTAAACCCCTAAACTCAGAATGAATGAACCTCATTCTCAATAAACGACAAGTTCGTCTGACCCTGACTCATTTAAGCCACGTTTGCATCATCTATTTGAATTGGTAATCCACTGACTTTTACGGACCTCCTAGTTTTACATCCCTTAAATTTATCACTTATATACACACAGGTCCTAACTTTAGCATGCATGCAACTTAAACTACAGAGGCTATAAATGTTCGAGACCTTAATGAGAAACTATGCTTTAGTTAATTACTATCCATACTTGAATCGATTTGCAGCCGGTGTGTCAAATTCACATCTCAAAAATGCGTTTCATTGGCGATTCATATCATTAATTTTACTCAGTTGAGTTTCAGTCTCGTGATCATTGACAACACAGAAGTGCACTTTAGACAAGTATTAACTCAGGACGATTGGTCACTTAAGATCATCGAAGAAATTCCGTCTCCAGCTCTCACGCCCCTCCCCCCTCTCCCTCCGGTTAAGAAGTTCCCCCCATTTATATCATAGTTGCTCTTTTTATCCCCTTTCGTTAATTTAGGTCATTTAAATTGACCCATCCCCACTCCCAGTTAAAAAATCGTGACTTTAACTACATCAATGAATGGATTGAGGGTGTTATTGACTGCCTTAATCCTTTGTAAGACGCCAAAATAGTAGGCGATGTTATTCAATAAATACAAATTGTATTGTGAAATAAATTATCCTTTTAACAAACCGTCGCACATAAATTGATAGAAGCCTTCAAGCGCTATAAGAACCTTCATTTGAATACACCATATTATCTTCAAAATTATAATTAATTCAAATAAGGCATTTTCTATCAACATAGAACAAATTATTAAGTCCAATAACAGCCAAATGAGAACAAATACCATTTAAAACGTAGCTAAGTTAAGAGTGAGATGAGTTATTCCAATGGTGTCAAACGAAAATTAGAACGAATACATATAATAATATTTAATGTCACGCCTAAAATTGAAAATATAGTGACTAGAATACGGATATTAGAAGGCAACTGGTTATCTAATTTCACAGAAATGAAAAAGTGGAGGTGAAGAGGGTGAAGAAGGAGGAGGAGGAGAAGGAGAATATCCGCTTTCAATTCAAGTTAAATTCAGCACGTTGGGCATGTGTTGCGCGTTCCTGAAGGGAGAAAAAAGATGAAAAAGTGCAGACATATTCAGCCAAACAGAGACTTATTCGCAAAGCCGAGGGGTGTAAAAACGCCTATCTCGCACTTCATTGACAAAAGGGTATATTTAGAAGGCCAGAAACGCAATCGCCTTCAAATCAAGTAAGTTGTAGACTCCTGTGTGATTGTGGCAGATGCAGCCTTTCTACACCATTAAAAGTTAATCTATTTTCTCAAACAGCGTAATTCACCCTCGTGTAATTTCATAAGAAAATATTTCCCAGACCATGTTAAACCTTAAAATGTTGCGAATAGTGCCTTCATGGAAATTTTCAAATGTACATCAGTGGTTAAGCTAACATGGTAATGCTGCTTTCAATTCCTGGTAGTCTTGAGCCAAGTTTTCCGACTTCCAATAAATTCTTAAGTATTGGTATATTCTAACGTCAGCGTAGAATCCTAATGTGGTTTATTGAGCACGATATATACCGAATTTGATATGACAATCTAAGACCTGCAAGGGCAATGTTTTTGCCTTAGAAAGGCTAGTAAATGAGCAGTTTTATTAATTTCGATCCGAGGTTAGGTTTCCTAAGTAAGGCGATATCATTAGAAATGTCTCACCTCTCCGTCCATTGTAAAGAGAGTAGTGTAGATGTATCCTCCAACTCCCCAAGTTGAATACGGTGATTCTAGATCCTTCAGCCCAGCCTCCGGACCACGCTGGCCTCTCGCCCAAATCTATAATAAAAATTAATATACCTTCTAAAAATTCATCTTCTTCACCAAGATTTAGAACAAAAGGAAATGATTTTCTTAGGCCCCATAAATCATCCACGCGTTACACTGAAATGAGATGTTTTATTGCGTATTTGTATGTTTGTAACAAGGCAGGAAGTAATATAAAATGAGCCAGCAAGAATTCAGAACATTTGCTTGCAAAAGTAGAAAACTGTCGAAAAGCACGACAGAGTGAATTTATTTTCAAATTCAGTATACACTAATGTTGAATTAAGGTGCATTTATTGGTCCATTAATTGTTAGGCCCATATAATAGTGTAGATAAGGATCAATACTTCGTGCATTGCCCCACTAACTTTACTCAGATAATTCTACTCCTTATGACTGTAGTAGGCTTTGAAAATTTACCTAAGTAAATTCATCCACCTTAATTAACCTCAAGTACACGGAAATTCGACTTTTTCGAAAGTCAGTTGACCTTATTTTAATTAAATAAGTTCCATCCTCTTTTCTTTTTTGCAATAATCCGACATCCGCAAGATCTACTGCCTGTGTTAACGATACCTGCTAATAAGAATGCTGAATTGTGCATTCTCAGTTTGATCGACTATTGAATACGTGAATATTTCTGATAAAACCAAATGGGTGTACCGAAGCTAACTACCGTTTCACTGAAATAGTCGGTTAAAATCTTGTCGGATTCCCTTTGAAACCTTATTTTCATGTGTGCCTTATACCTTCAGCACTTATAGTGGGGACCCCCCCATGTTTACTCCAATCATCTTACCCCGAATCTCGTCACATTTCCTAGTAGCTAACTTACTAACTCAAGGAAAAATAATCGTTTTAAAATTATTCTTTTCTTTAATAGCATGAGCATTCAGGCGAAAAAGCAACCCCAGAGAATATATTGCTATCTAAGCACAGTACCCTTACTCATTTTCATTTTAACCTCTATGGCAGTATGTATTGATTTTCTCAAACATTAGGCTAAATTCGCAAATATGTGGCAGAGATAATGGGACTTAATCGCAGATGGCAAGGTAGCATTGTGAAGTCCAGAGGAAGAGGTTTACAAGCTTTCAATAATTGGACATGTCCGGATAGGGTGGGGGGGGGGGGGGGGAGTTGAACAACGTTGGAGTAGAATTTGGTAGTGCACCCGCTATACTTCCTCCCTTCATTTAAACTTCTCAATTGCTGTCGTTTACTTCTGCGTATTTTGTAATCGACTTCCTATGCAATGATTTTATATTTTATTTCTTCAGATTGAATATCTGCCTATGACCATAAAAAGGAATATTTTCATTTGGATCAGCGTTTTCTTAGTACCTTTCTTCTTGGAGTCATAAACAGCCTAACTAAGCACCAACTGATCCTTATATTGTTTAAATTGTTATCCCAAAATTTAGTCATAGAGGGAATTACTTCCTCTACGTAAGTATAAAGCACCTACGGTGGTAGCATTTTTTGAGGAGAGCAAAGCAAAGCCACTAGGAGAAAAAAACTACATTGCTCTTACCGCCAAAGAGCTTGGCGGTAGCCTTTTTACCACTATTCTTGGAGAGGGAATTTTGTGGGTTTTGGGGTGTGTGTGTGTGTGCTGGAGATTTGAATGGAGTAGGAAGAGAGCAAATCAGCTATTGGTTTATTTAATGACCGCAGCGACAACAGCCTACGCTGCCACTAGTGCAACTCAATCTCATCGCCTCCAAATTCCTCGTGCCAACGCCACCGGCGAAATTTTATCGGATTGCGTAAAACTCTCATTCTCCAACTCCTCCCCCCTCCTAAATGATCGCGTTTACGAGAAACCCCTAAAAGGGGGTGGAAGGAGAAATGTAGTGGGAGGCAAAAAGAGACTGTGTATGTGTGTGTGTGTGTGTGTGTGTGTGTGTGTGGGAGAGCGTTTCTAAGCGGAATGAAAGTGTGAGTAAAAATTTGGGAATGAGAGAGAGAGAGAGAAAGAATTGGTGAGTGAACAAAATCTGAAATGATCTACATCGTTGGATCACTTCACAAAGAGGATAAAAAGATTGCGGTCATTCTCCACTATTCATCTCATTGCTTGTATTTTGAAATATAAATATCAATTATTTACTACTTCGTACCGCGAACAATTAATATACAAATCATATGGTGAGAAAATTGCAAAGATGTTTTAAATCTCACCACAGAGAAGGCATTTATTACTGAAAAAATATGAACAAGAAGTTTTTGTAAATATCTGGTTTTTTAAAGGGAATGGTTGACTATCTTGAACAACCAGTCAAAAAACTTCTTGTTTTAGTTTTATTGAGCAGATTATGCTAGGAGATTGAAAATAGTAAACCCTTCCCGGTCAATATTGCACAAAAAGTCATCAGTTGACTCATCAAGTGCTTATTGTTCCCATTTGAACCAATATTACTTAGAAAGACCCAAACTAATTTACTGATGAAGGCTATTAACGTCATACATGAATGATTCTTCTGTCGTCGACTTCCTTTAGCTACGAATAGATGCTGTCAAAGTTAAAATTTACACATTTGGGCTAACCAGGTTCCTTAACTGACATGTATTCACTCAAAATAATTTGCTATCCTTAAACTTGCAAGTTCTCATTCACATTTGGCTTATTTATGTAAGCCATGTGATTAAAGTTATTATTTTTCTGAGTGTAGGATTCCTAGGATTTACATCCTATCAGACATTGAATCTACGCAACATAATGGCATGCCGAGACACTAACTTAATACATTAACAAAGCCATCACCACTTATTTAATGGGGAAAAATTGGGTGACTTACCTTTCGGCTACTCTTTGGCAACATAAGTGTATCGCCGAAAGTGAAGCGAATAATTTGCTTGCCGTGTTCGATGTTCCTTACAATTCTCCAACCGTTTAAGTTCTCAGTCTAAAATTACAAGGCAAACGTAATTACAAAAAACTTTTTTTATTAGTAAGTTAACTAGCATATTAATGATGCAATGTAGCTATAAAGTTACCTTTTGAGTACTCTCTGTGTTGCATTAAAACAAGACAGCCTTATAAAGGTAGTTAAAACAACTCTAATTCGTGGAAATCTAACCATATGAATGATCTTTTTCAATAGCCCAACGGAAGAAATTATTAGAAATTGGACACTGATATTTTCAGCAAGTGTTTAAAAACTTGGAAATGTATATTAATCGCCCGTAGAATTGGCCTATTGGTTTTACTTTTAATAAGCATAATTTACCAATACGAGATAGGGGAATTAAACTGCAAAGCTGTTGAATTCATGAACTAATCTAACAACGCCCTGTTAACCTTGTCATATTTACCAAGTTTCTTTGGCCTTGAACCCATTGTTGCCTTCATATTGCAATGAGATCCTATTAATGTATCACTGAAAGTCTAGATTGTTGGGCATTGTTACAAATAAAGCGATGGAGCTCAGAATTCTAATCCATTTCTATTATACAAAGTGAGCTTCACTAAGCATAACGCCCTTACAATCAGAATGAAAGATCTTCTTTTGCTCATTGTTACTTCTTTAATTTTTTCTTGAAATCTCTCTGAGAGAGTTATTCTCAATCAACTGTTCCATAAATACTGCTGGTGATTGATTTTTGCAGACACTGTTTGTCAAGTGGGAGTTAGAGCACTAGTCTTTTAGTTAAATGATATCAGATTAAGGAAGTGATTAACTTATTGATACTTTCGTATTCCAAAAATATATGCAAAGGACTAAAATTTGGCGCGCAATTTGAAGTTCTCTCGCACACACAGAGTATAGATGCTTGAATTTTAGCCAAAAATGGATGTTCACTAATATTTATTAGCTCTTATCCATGACGCCTTTTCACTAGTTCGATTTAAGACGGTTTTATAAGCTCCCGCACGCATGTAAACTCGAAGAACCCATAAAACCCCCATGAATTTCGACTAATAAAAGTAAACGTTCATTGTTGATTCCTACTTTCTGTTAGTTTAGTGCTTAACTAAGAGTTATTGGCGATAAATTTGAACCCAACGTTTATAGCGAGTTGTAAGAGAAGAATAGATCGTGTAAGCGATCTTTCGAGTAGTTGATTCGTTCATTAATTATAAAAAAATGACAAATTTATAAATTCCTATATATATATATATACATTTGCTCAATACAATTTTATTTGATATTTATTGAGCTAAACTAAAACAACTGAAAAACGATACTGCTATCATCATCTGTTTGAAGAATTTATACGAATGGATTTGGTTCGAAATTGTATAGCTCTAGTGATGGTAACATTGTACAATATATACTAGCTCTTCATCCAAACAACTCCTGCCATTGTTCAGAGCAACCATTGCCAACTTAGTACGCAACAACCTTAAGGGTCTACTGAAAGTCCAACACTCAAGCACTCTTGGCTCCTACATGAAGGCTGTTCATTCAATAAGGTTAGAACTGAAATACAAACTGCCTTCAAAATAGTGGCCTTTAAAAGTCGAATTTGTATACTTTTAAGCTTGTCATCTTGAGAGACATACAGTTGTTCCGTTATTGGTTATGACTATATAGCGTCCATCAGGTGAGCACTCATCAATGGAGATGGCTCCTTTGTATGATTTGTCAAATTGAGTTCGAGCGGTTAGTTCTCCCCTCGCACCCCTTTGGTCTCCGCCTGCAGCTGAAATGGGATGGAAGTCAAAATTAACCGAAAGGACGGATGTTGGCACGCGATTCAATTATTTAAGACGAATTTCTAACTCAGCTCTGCTTTTAGAAAAAAAACGTCACCATCGGTTGCGCTAATTAAATTTCAGCGAAACAACCTTAAGCAAGGAGGAAGAAATTTTGTGGAATTACTTGGAGTGGTTTGCAGTGCTCGCATTGTGGGAAAATGATAATCCACAGAATGTGGGTAATTTATATCGAGGAGTAATTTCTCTGGAGCACATTAAAACTCTAACTTTATGCAAACAACTTTGATTTTGTAAAAAGACATAACTATATGCGCAAATAAAAATTAAGCACAAAATATCTCATCTAATGCGTTTTTTGCTAAATAGTAGTTGCAGAAGAAATTAATTTTGGGGGAATAAAATAAATTTTTTAGTGTTCGTGCTTATGGATTTGAATAAATGAAATGACATTTAGCTGATAACGGCAATTAGATAGGATTTTTTGGTTTAAACGTACATAACTCTTAAAAGTCTTATAGATGTAACGTGAAATTTACTGAGAGGCTGATAAAGTGATTCCACCAGCCAATTTCTTAATTACTAAAGAAAAATCGATGTTGAAAGCAATTTCGCAATTAAAATTAAAAAGTAACTACATTTATGAACCCGAAAAGGTAGCTTTGTTGTAGATGCGAAGGAGGTATATCAATTTCTTAGTGAAATGCGAAAGTTTTCATCACTGGACTCTGAGAACATTTTTTAATAAAACTCCCATAAATGATAACATTCCAATAACGTTAAGCCGGCTATTTTTATTCTAATGCGTAGCCCCATTTTAAATTAAAAAGACGTGCTCCTTTTTCGCAGCTCTAGCAATGTTATTAAGGATTAATTTAATTAACTTAATAAAAAATGGATTATAAATTGTGAAGTGCTGAAAGTTTGCAATTCCGCCTGATTTTTGGACTGCTGGTAACATAGCTATACTGTTGGCTCCAAACGAGGTCAATACACGTCTTGCCTTCAATACAATTTCAGTTTTAACTCACCGAAACTCTATAATATCTGCAATATATGTATCCGAAATGGAGCAAATCCCAGGAAGTGCTTAATCAGTTCATTAAAGTTAAAGTAAAAAAATCTTCTATAAAAGAGTTTAATATTAGAGCATTTTACTACAATAGAGTTTATTATGCAATCATTTGACTTAAAATAGGCGTTTATGGGAGCGGTTAGGAGAATAAAACCTCTTCGCGTTTATTAACGGTAAGGATAGCACTTAAACCTCTTAGCGGATTGCGCACATATCGAGTAAGTGGTTGTGGGATCAATGCATGTAGGTACACACACTTATGGGTAAAATTTCCAATTAATTAATGCAAAATATAAATACTACTTGTTATCGCTGGACAATAGTGATGGCATATCTCAAATCAAGCTGAAATTTGGCCTTTGTGAAAAGCGCAACTTAAACCAGATGCTTATACAGACGATTTATGGATTTCATTAAAATGCTTATTGGAGAACATATCTTCAGTTTGGGTAATTGTCTAAAGATCCTATTCCACTGAAATTTGTAAAAACTCTTACTTAGTTTCCAGATTTAAAGGCAAATGAATGGGTATGAGAGAAGATTATATCTTATTTTCCACTCTCTCAGTCCTGCACTTTACAATCGAATACAAATGTTTATAAATAAGAAAAAGTACTTCCACCGAGTTTGAAAGGCTACGTGGTGGTGAAAATCGTATCTTTTCCGTCGTGGATTCTTTTTCTCTAATGAGCTGGCAATTTTGTTTCATTTTGCTTGACCTAATTTCCATTTACCCAATTAAGGTTTATTAAAAAGTAAAGGGATGGCCCTAGTTTTGATAGACCTATGAGTTTTTTTAACACTGACATTGATATCTTATCAATTAGTCAATCTCGAGTTATTGGAATTGTGACATCGAAATAATCGTCGCTATACAATGAATAATATCAAGTTCAGCTGTGCTATTCCATAAGTAGGCTAAAGTACTTTAACATACCTTGATCTAATATAACCACCGATTCCTAACTTCATTTGCCTCTTAACTAAACTACGTCAAGTTTTAAAATCATTCAGAATGAATACAGCTTCAAATACTTTATCGCTACTTAGACAACTTAACTCCAAACTATGTCAAAATATTTTAAGAGACTCAACATGATAAGCTAATTATTAATTTCCGGTCTTAACGCTATTTTTTGGAAATAATTATAAACTCTATATGAAGACAAGCTTGATTATGAATTTATTTTCAAAATTCCTACCTTCTTTATAGCTGGAAGATAGTTGTTCTTCACCTAAAATAAAATTTTTTATCACATTCCATAAAGAGAGAATTTAGTGTTGCGTTTTCAGTGTGTCCGCTTTTTGAACAAGTACTTTTTAGCAAATGTTCCGACCTTTTAGAGAGCAAAACTCACGCTATTTTGTTGATTTCTATATAGCATCTTGAAAGTGGTTCTGTTCTCACTCCTGTTATTGTTAAATTATAAATATTTTTTCGTTGGAATTTTTTATTTTAAATAAGACTCACATTCACCGTCAAAATCCACTAGCCGTGATCTTAATGATGAACCGGAGGGATCGCTTCGTTCAGTAAATCTGTGTGCTCTAAAATAAAACAATAATAAAAGAGTACTAATGGCTTTAAATTAGTAAATTAAACCGTGGGGGGGGGGGGGGGGGGAATGTNAAAATAAACCGGGGGGGGGGGGGGGAGGGGAATGTCAGTATTCACAGTGATTTGTTCAGCTAAGGAATAAATGCAGATAGGAAAAATGTAAAGCAGACAGGAAAGAACCGAAATTTGTGTATGCGTCTTACCTCTTTTTCCCCCAGGATTAACTTTTAAGCTCAGATAATAACAGCTGGTATGGCGTGATACTTATTATTTTCAGCGCAGTCACTAGAAATGACGGGCAATTTTACATCCATCTGACTTTTGCAACACCTGATACCATTCATATTAACAGAGTAAACATAATAAATAACATTTTTTACTCGTGATACAATGAAACAGGTAATGCAGTGGCCTCGGTAAGGATGCTTAGCCACTTTAAGATTTATGTTTTGCGGCAAGGTATTGTGAATATCTGAATTAATAATGTGAAGCACGATTTGCTTTCCACCTCGTATGTTTTACACAATCTGCAAGTTTCCCACCACTTTTTGGCTGTATCCATTGTAAGACTGATTGTTATTTATTAATATTATGGTTGTATTTAATGTCATCCTGCCCCACCCTTGCTATCTCCACTTTCATAATCCAAAGTCTCAAATTTTACCTCATCTGACATAAAAAATTACCAATTAGACATCTTGCGTGAAGGATTGGACTATCTTTATTCAAGCTTCGTTGAAGTTACTTTTATAGTAAGAACTACATCACAACTCATTAATTCTATTGAAGTAAGATTTTACCAAAATCAGTAAAACGGCAGTTTGAAAATATGGAAAGGAACACCAATGCCTTACTGGAGATAGATAGGTTTCGCCGGGGAATTATTCCACACCAATATCACTCATTTATAGAGCGTTTTAATGCTCATCAAGGTGAGAAATTGATAACATGAAGTGTAGTAAACAGACTCAAATAGTGCTCTCTGGATGTGCTGAACGTTAATTTAATACATGATAGACATGTTCAGTGACCAAAAGTGCCTGTATTTATAAGAAAAAATGGAGAGTTATATATTCGAAATGGGGTACGCGAGAGACTTGCGTTCACGTGGTGCACCCCGGGCAATGTATACTCATACGGCAAAAAAGTCTATTATTTGGCAGTTGACTTCTGACTTCAAACTACCATGACCTCACTGTATGTCATATCCGACCACTTCCACAGTACTCATCTTACCTTTTCTCTGCCTTTGTGACCATCTGTCTCTTTGCCTCTATGAATCACTCTTCTTTCCCCCTCTCGAATTTTTCCAAATATGATGTTCCTTCCCTATGTGAAGTCCGAAGTCAGCTAAAGGGCTAATGATAACTATCAAAACGCCTGCCATTTGAAATAAAAAAAATATATGTGAAGTGGATTTTTATTGTCATTGGCTCTGTAAATAGGCCATTTTTCTCAGCAATCCCTTTTTGGGTACTTCATGAGATTAACAATTGCATATCCGTTTCCACTCACCATAGAAAAAAATCTTGCTAGCGAAATTCAATGGGACTTTGAAGCGAAACTTCGAAGAGGTAAAAGTTAAAGGAAAATTAATTTTTGGGTCGGTGGTCGGTTGCAGAGTCAATGGACAGCCTGCGGAATGTAGTAAACAATTCCCAGACAACCGAACCAAGTGAATAGGTTACTCGAATAGCCCGTTAACTTCATTCAATGAGAGATGTTAGCATGAATAATGAGTGAAATTATGAAATTCTTTTCTGCCGCTTTGGATCTTCATTTTGCACAAAAAACTGCTCAAAATTTAGCAAAATTGAAATAAAATTCACCTAAAAAATGCTTAAATTATGGCAAATAAATGGGGATTTAATTTTTTGATAAAAATTTTAACCCAAGGTGTGATTATTTGCGCATTTCATTTGAAGCTGCGATATACAAAATGAATCTTTCTCTACTGAATTATCACTATTATCCAAACTATGAATAGTATCATTTCTTATCTTTCTTTACTTATCTATCTGCTCAATTTACTACTTATTTTCGACAAAATATCTTTGCGTTAACCTGTTTTAAGAGAAAGGTGATATTTAGGGATGATAATAAATTAAATATTATCTGATTAATTTTATGACAGGGAATAAATTAGGCAAAGCTGTTTCCTAGTTATTTTCTGGGAAATACTACTTTATTTTATTTTTGTATTATTTGAAAAATGCTTTTGTCTGGAGGTATTCGAGAATGTGCTGGGTTATCTATTGCTTGTGCAGTGTGGAAGCCAATTGTTCAACTCCAAAAATGCTAATTGATTATTATGGAAACTCTTGCTCAGATCGATGCAAGGTTGTCAAGAAAAGGGGTGCAATCATTAAGGTCAAGAATTATCTTAAATAGCATTAGGGCGTTCAAAAAGGCCGATGGATATTCAATTATAGTTTACTATTTTAACTAAAATGTAGCACTAAATATTAACTAATTTTGCATAAAACATTAATTATTTGGTATTTAAATGAAGTGCTTTTACTTAATTAACCTTGTGAAATGAAAACTATTCTTTATTGAATGTCTAGCTTTGCCAACATGCTAGCAAAATAACGATTGTGTAGCAGGGGTACAGATTTCTGTGATAAAACGTTTATTCGCAGGTGATTCACGTATGAGATCGCATATTCGAAAAGTTGCGAAATAGTTCCATTTAGCCCATTTTTTGAAAATTTCCTTATCCCTCTAGGGGAAAGTAAGAATTTCCTTTTATTTAAATTAACTTTGGAGGTTGCTACTGATCCATCAATGTCATTTCTGTATAAAAAATCTCAATGCCTACATGATCTGTTCCCTACATTTTTTTCTAAGTTCATTTTCCTTGCTTCCAGCAATATTTTCAACTCTCAACATTAGTCCGTCCAGTATTCAGGATGACTTTTATTAGTTTCACTCTACTTCACTACTTTGTGCAACCTGGGTGCAATGAAGATTATAGAAATATAAAAATCAAGCTTTAAAAGTCAACAAATATTAATGCTATTTTAAATTGCTCAACCTAGAAAAAATTTCAATTTAATATCCTGAAAATTGGATGGATAACCAACGTAGTACCAGTTATTTAATCCGATTTTTTGTCTACAACACGATTTAATCGGCTTTCACAAAAAATATTATTGTCACTCACTTTCAGAAAAAAATTAATATGAAGGGTGCATAGGACATGATGTTTTATATGAAATTCGAGTTGCGACGAGTGCAAATACTACATATCATTGTGCTCCAATTTGCATCCATCATAAATAAACATTGATAGTGTTAATAATAAATAGCTTATTTTAAAATTTTATTTATTCTTGGGCAGTTCATGGTATTATATATAGATAACGCTGAGCAATTTATCAATGAAAAAAACATTCCGAGTTGATTTTTTCTCCGAGTCTGGCCATAATGTGAACCAAAATATAGATTTCTAAAAAAGCGACTATATACAACTGGTAAATTGGTATCAACAAAAAGACGTTTTTAATTTAATTCCAGGAATAAATAAAAATAAAATATTAGTCTTTCAGTTTAAATAGGGTATTCTTCTAGTCCCTTCAGGATAGTACGACAATTAAGTATGCCATTGAAGTAAATATTTTTTAAGAACCGAATGAAATGAAATAAAATAGGCGCCAAAGCTATCTAAGGTAATAAAGATTGGTTAAGATTACTATAGCTGTTAGAGTGTTGGGTTACAGACCAAATTGTTAAATTTCACTGCAAATCGATTGGCTAATTAGCTTACATAGGCGTTTCACCTGACACACCAGGGATCGACTTGCTACTACTTCGCCTCTCTGAAGGACCCTTCGATTTTCGTGGCTCAGCTAGAGGCCTTTAAAATATTGCATTCAAAACTATTCATTATGATCAAACATTGCTTACTTGGCATATGCCTACAAAATTGTGCCAACTAGGACTTACATATCGGAAACAGGTACTGCAGTAGCTGCTGCTCTTTGGGGACTCATGCTGGATGAACGTGGTCGGGATATCACCTCACGAGAGGATCTGGTGCGGGAAAACGGACTACCCACAGATTCCTTTCTAGGATTACTATAAACGCCAGAGGGGCCACTATCAGCACTGAGAATACCCCCTTGTGCATCTAAAAGTCGTCTGTAGGCGGATATTTCTGCTTCCAAGTTCAATTTTGCGTCTGTCAGGGCAGCCATCTCGGCATGGGCTTTCGCAAGGGTTTCTTCAGCTGCTTCACGTTCTCTTGCTGATGCTTCGAGCTCAACCTCGATACGTCCTCTTAATTCCTCGGCTTCTGCCGAAACATCATTCAACGCCTTTTCCAAATAGGAATTCTATAGGTATGAACAGATATATAAAATTATTCGAGTGGAGTTTGAAGCACCTCTTAAGTATTTTAAGAGTAAATATGTGCATATTGTCAAGCCGTTCAGTGAGTTTAATTGATAATCAACAATTCTATGAAGTGAGCTAAATTACTCCGAAATCGAAGTCTTGAGCTTAATCCTAACTTGTAGTTTAAAAAATCTAATTTACCTATTTAGCTAATTATTTGAGCAAGTTTACTATTCCCCGATGCATCAAGGAAACTCAAATCCAAGAGAGAAAAATACTAAGAGTGAGAAGCTGAAATCGGTAAGAATTCAGAAGATTATATATTCATCACGTTGTCCGCCTTTTCCAGAAATAGGCTGAATTTGCTGCCTCATATCCTAGCATAAAAAAATTGATTTGGGTTAATCGTTCGTTGGTTTGTTATTTGGACTTCTTAATCATATAAGCTCTATGTAGTTGTTCCATTTAACTGTTAGTTTTATCTGCATATTGTAAGCTTAAGTATTTAGACAGGACATATTTGAAAGTCGTGGTGTTTGTTTTATAATCGCCAAGAACACTTTGGTGGTAGCATTTTAGTGGGCCAAGTTTGAGTCACTCATTAGACGATACTAAAATGCGTTTTTTTTCAAGATGAATAGAATGCATCTGGACAGGTTTTTCATGAACGAATGTGGATAATCAGTCAGAGTTTCATTGACAATATTTTCCCAAAGTATTTCTATGCTGATCGTTTAAATTGATCGGTTTGCTTGGCATGTCAAATATTTTACTTATTTTTTTCCGGGGTAAAATTACCGTGAGTATGAGAGTTTTTCACACGAACTGGCAAATACTTTCTCACTGTAGGATGAGAAATAAGTGTTCGGCGTTAACTTTGAACTGTTCCATGAACTGTCCTTTTGAAAATATTGCGTTTACTTAAATTATTTTCGACAAAACGTCATCAAATAGGGAAATGCTGAATAAAGAAAGATTTATACGTTAACTGACTGATAGGAAAATTCGTCCAATTTAAGTTTTCATTTAGATAACTAAATTGCAAAACAAATTTTATGCTTTATTTCCTGACTAAATCACCTATAATTGGGCAAGATTGATTACAATTAGATAAATCTATTTTTCCAGAAAATTTTAAATAATCAACAATTAAATGAGAAATGAAAAAGCAAATTATTGAAATATTTAACTGAAAACTTTGAGTTCGCGTTGGGGTTGTAACATTAGGAGTAATTCCTAAAACTTTGTTATGTGCCTAACAGCCCATAATAAAGTTAAATTAAATATATCAAATGTTGAGGGTAATTCTCAAAAATTGGCTACTTGAATATTTAAAGTTAAAATGATCCATACTTAAATGGAATTTTTAAAGTTCAAAGGCGTAGAACCGGCAGGTGGAATAGAAACATGAAGCCTAAGGTTGAAGAATTCAAAGCACTTGTGATAAATCTGCAGAATTCACAGGTAAAAAGTCATTTATTCAATGTGGATATCATGACTTGATAAAGAATGAGTGTCTAAAGGTTTAATTACTGAAAATAATCAGAAAAATATCATAACTTGCAATTTTTTCAAGCGTAGCAATTATTAAATTAAATTTTAGTATTTCTTTACTTTACTAAAACTAGATAAAGTTGATTTCAATTTTCCTCAGTCATTACCTTAACTAATAAATACTTAAATTATATGTTTAATTGAAAAATTTTACAATTCGTCTATTCTAACTAAATTGTATGATTGTGCCAAATAATTAAAATTGTAATAACAATTTCATTGCCGATTTCCGCATTTTTTAACAGATCTGTCATGTTATTTCAGCAGAAGCATAGCGGTAATTTATCATTAAAAGCATCGAGAAGATTTTGCAATGGGCAAAAAAATGTTTCAACTGAAAGTACTTTAAGAGGAAATTGATTGGTTCGTGAGATATTTCATTCTCCCATAATATTGATGGATGGCACGTATAATTAATGGATTTAAACAATAAATTAAAAGTATTTAGTTCATCATAGTCGTCAAAAAAACGTGCTACAATTATTGTTTATACCACATCGTTTATGGTCGTTTTCTGTGTCTATAAATGCAAATATTACCTCTGAATATCGTCCCTTTATAAACACTGGTATTAGAACGGTAATAATTAAAATGATTCAGTTTTGAAAATGCATAGAAAATGACCAATTCATTGCAAAACAATTTTTTAAACAAATATTAAGTCATTTGAAGTCGACGTATCTTTTTTTCTACAACCATTTTTTGGGTACTGCTGAATGATGGTGATCTAAGTTAATATACCCTTGCTAACTCATTTGTCACCTGTGTATCTGCGGCACTCATGATCTGCGATCAATTGATCCGAACTGCACTAAATGCAGGAAGCTCAACGCTATTCATTCGCCCAGTCAGTTCTAACCTGCCTGTTTGAGAATTTGCAGTCATCTAACTCCCAAAAAATTTCTCAAGTCCCCTTGTCTACTTCCTTCTAGGTAGACGCATATATTGTCTAACTGTTCCTCAGTATACCACCTTGCACTCTGCCACTTTGTGCTCGAAAAACCTCTACAACCAGAGGGTTCTCTTCTTTCCATTTTGTTGTATTGAGAAGGTCTAGCCAAAAATTACAATAGAGATTACCCAGCAAAGACTCTCCAGTCACTTGGGCAGCTTGTTTTAGCCATCTCAAACGCTAAAATCTATTACGTGTTTTATTAAATTACCAACAAATTTTCGCATTATGGCAATATTATTTTCACAACCAACGGCTATTAAATTTTAAAAAAATAAATAATGCATTCGGTCGTTTTGCTAAAATATAATAGGGTTAATTTAGATTTAGAAACATTCGTCAGAAAATTGTTGCATATTCGAGGTTTTGTTCCTGTTTCCTGACTACACAAATTATAGTTAATATCAGTATAATTAGCTTTACTTTCCAAAAAAGACCAATTAGCCATGTAAATGGAAAGATTTTAACGGAACTTGAGAGTTCTAAGTAATTATTATGACCAAATTAAATATAAGCATTTTTACCAATTCACTGGTATGCACAATTGTGGCAATTATTAACCGTAGTCATAATATCACAAAAAAATGATAAAGACAAAGTAATTGAGCATCTAATTAATGTGATTTTATCACCATGGCTGGCCATACCTATCAACATGTTCAATTCATTTAAAAAAACCCTGAAAGCCCATGAGAAATTTAATTTCATTTATAAAATTATTCTCAGGCAAAAAGTAGCAGGTTACTTTTGCCTTTAGAAAATTTAATTTCTACGAAAATTAATCGATAAATTTAAATTTTTATATAGTTGAATCGTCGTGTGATGTAATGAAATCTTGTTGCTGAAATCATCCTTATGTCATGTCACAATGACAAGATAGGAAAGAGATGCAATTTTTGTTCAGAATCTTGACACTTTTGGAGCAATCAGCAACTGACAAAAGGTGACAATATCTGCAATTTGCAACAAGAGGACTACTTTATACTTCAAGAAGATCAAAACGCCTTTCTTACCTTTGTCTGCTAATGTGCATTTTCTAAATTTGCATTTTCGCAAGTACTAAAAATTGCATTTTATCGAAAGAATACCCTATGCGGTTTTAAAATGGAAATAAAATGACTAGTTTAACTTAATAGAGTATGATTTCGTGAGCCGGTATTCACAGGAGCGTCAATTTCGATAAAACTGTTGATTTAATTCAACTTTATGAAGATAGTGCCAAGTGCAGCATGAATAAACTTCATCAATTTTGCCTTGTCCATCAAAACGGAGACAGAAGTAGCCTGGTCATAAGTATTGTATTCAGGCGCCCAACTAAATGATGTAAAGCTTTCTTTGAGACAGCGTACTGAAGATGTGACAAAGCCCCCCCCCTCCTCCTTTCATTTAATATATTAAGCGTGATTAAATATGCATAGCTGAAGCACAGAGGCAAGTCTCACTGTACGTCTAAATCTTCCCACGCTGGGCAGTAAAAGGACACTAAAATTTTACTTAAAACCATTTCACGCTAATTTAAGGACGTACAACAGACGTCTGGTTCTCACACTACTCTCTCATATTGGAACTAAATAGAAGAAATTCTTATTGGCTGGACTAAAGCAGAAAGACAATCGATTTTATCACCAATTTAAAAGTGAAAAGTGATCATTGCTTTAGTTTCATTATTTTATGTAGGAAATATTCTATTAATTCCACTTTGGGTGTTATAATTATTTCAACTATCACAAATTCTCAACTTCATGCATCAAATAAATGTTCAATAAGCTACTTCATTTATCTCCTTAACTGTTAAAAGTTATAAAAAAAATGCTGTCGTGAAATCGTGATTTCAACTTTGCATCAAAGGAATTGCAATTAGGATTTTGTGCGCTTTTATGCAAATTTGGACTTGATTTGAAGAGGTTAAGAATTCTCAAAATTGTAAAACAGAATGAGTTTTTACAATTTTCTGAAATTAGCTCTAAATGTGTTTCATTTTGATTTGACAGAACTAAAAATGTGAAAGCAAAAGGCAGTTCTTTAATGAAAACGATTACTGAAAACTCTGCAGAAAGGCTTAAGCATGTTTCTTTTTTTATTGTTTTTTTTCCCATTTAAACTATATCCTCATTCTAAAACATGCAAGAGGAGCATTAGCATACTTTGTGAGAATGCATTATTTGCCATCTTGATCTGAAAGGATACTTTTCTATCATTAATGGGACGAAAAATTAAATTGGCAATTTTGTTGAACGGGCCCCAATTTTCCGATGACTCATCAATAATGACGTGTTCAGGTCGAGTGTTGGTCTGTGATCAAGCATAACAAGTAACTTCATGACTGCTGTCTTTATTACACTAATTATTCTCATCCTTGACACTTCGATCCCATTGTGGCAAAAAATTCGGACTAAATTCTTGCTACAATGTTTGGTCCTTTCCTTCAACGGATGGTTTATTGAGTCACAAAGTTCACTTCCACAACAAACTCTTTGTAACCTGAGAATTCTCACCATCACTAAATTCCGCCATCGCCAATCATTAGGTATTCTATACTTCCTCACATGCCGTGACAAAATAAGGGCTAAGACGAAGTTATATTAGGCCTCTTATGGTTTGCTTCATGACAAACCTCATAAATTGTCAATTAA